CAAATACGGATAAGGACCTGGCAACTGTGGCTATGGAAATGCCATTTAGATAGAACCGTATATACACAGTCACCGCTACGTAGGAGAGAGTACGTGGCACACGCACCAAAAGCGGGGGCTGGACTGGGGCTGGCAACGTTTTTATTCATTTCAAAAAATGATAATTGGCTACTGACAGCCGCAGCATCCCATCAGCCGCGGGTTGGGTGGCCGTGGACTGCGGCGACTGCGGGGGAGTGGATCATCAGCAATGCTAAGCCGGCTTCAGCTTGTTGTATAGTTCCCTCCGGATAGGATAGCGTTCGGGCAGCAACAGCACTAGCAGCCACATCAACATCAGCATCAGCTTTTTATACCTACTAATCGTAGGGGCTAATGGAGTATGCTGATGCATTAGAGTACATCTAATCTGGATCAGCATTAATAAACCAGTCATCAAGTCTGGGAAAGTTGCGTTTGTTTTTGGTAGAAACTGTCACGTGCTGGTTTTAAATTCGGAAAACACTTTTAGACATACATTCGATAGAGTTTAATTTATAGAGAGTATTTAAAAGGAAATTCCCCCTTGGGATCCATAATTTAACATAAATGTTGCTCCTTTAGGTGCACTTATATAGCCATTATATATAAAAGAAAATTTGTAGTTATTGGGACTTGAAAACAAGATGTTCCATTTAATATTGTAAAAATATATTTCTAGTCTCTGTTCTGGAGAAAAACATCCATTTTCTTAGTTTATTTTCCTCGAAAAATATTTTTTAGAGCTTTGAATAATAATATTTTGTACCGATTTACCAAAAATAAATTCAGATCAGATATTTCTTGCAGGCACTATGTATGGGGAAAGAAGTTTTTTATAAATTGTTTTTCTTGCAATTAAATGCGAACTTTCGATGACAGCAATGACATCTTGATCCCCATTATTCTTTACATTGCATTTTGTTTACCAATAATAAAATAAGCCAATGTATAGGGTAGGGTATCCTTTAGTCGAAATACGCCCTATATATACATATGTACGTGGTGGTGTGGTACCTTTTCCACTTGTTTTTCTGTTGCGTTGCGTGCTTGTGTTGGCGGCTAAATCAGAAACAGAATCCGAAACAGAAACAGTCGGGCCAGAGAAAAGCGGAAACTGTAGCTGAAGTTGAATGGCAGACAGATAGACTGCCAGACGGAGATAGCCCCCCCCCCCCCCCCCCCCCCCAACGCAGAGCGGCTAGAAAGAGAAAGAAACAGGAGGAGCAGGAGCAGGAGCGATAGGAGGAGCATGGGGAGTGAGAGAGCAGCCTGCTTGCAGATAGAGAGTGCAAAAAAAAGGGAATATAAATTGCCTCTTAAATATGGAATAAGTGCGGAAAAGTGTACACCAGACGAACGACCGTCCGACCACCAGCAAACAACAAACATGCACATAGATAAACTATATAGCTTCTGGCCAAGATAAACATACACACACACACACACTTACAAATACAGTCATAGATAGATAAGCATACACATACACACAGAAAGAGATACAAACGGAAGACAAACACACGCCTACAAAAAAAAAAAAACAAAAAAAACCAACGAGAAAAGAAAAGAAACGAACGGAACGGAACGAAACGAAAGAATGAAAGAAAAAATGATGATGAAGAAGAAGAAGCCCAGCCAAGCCAAGTTTTGTAACAGTTACAAAAGATAAAGCAAAGTGGGCGTGTAATTGCATGTGTGTGTGTGTGTGTGGGCGGGCGGGGCACGTCACCCCCACCCCACACCCCACACCTCACCCTTCCTGCATTTCCTTCTTCTATTTCTACATCATGTTTCTCCTTGTGATGTGTCGCCTTTGTGTCCCTCTTTGCATAGAATCCTTTAGCAATAGACACATAAATTTTTAGCCAACACAACATTTTCGATTCAGATCCATTTTCCCCCTCCCTGCCTTCCTCCAGTTACAAGAAAATTACATCCAAGGGGGACGGGGGCGTGGCTATGGCAATGGCTAAAAGTGTTGGATCTTGTGTTTATGGCCATGTAGATTTCTCCACTGTTTCCCCCCACTGCTGATTCACTGCTTCCATTATCTCCGGGTCATTTGTTAATTCTTCGCTTCCAGTGCAAAAAAAAAGAAAGAGATTTCGAATCAGCAAATGAATGGGAAGAGAAATGCTTATAACCACATGATGAAACAAAAAGATGAAAGAAATTATTAAAGGAATTAAAAAGGGATAATAATCTATTTTAAAATGTATTACATGCAGGACCATTTTCGAAACGGATTGAAATACATCTACATACCCAACCTAATGAAGAGTCGATGAAGAAAACCGATTATAATATAATATTAAAAATAATAAATGTGCTCAGCATTTAATTCAAAGAAAATATTATCGCGATTGAAGTGCCTAAAAAACAGCATTTTAATAAAGTTAAATATGATAAAAATTAATTTTAATTAATTATATTAAATAAACATAATTATCGAACCTGATGAGAATCAATTGAAAGTTGATTGAAGTTAATTAGGAACATTATTAATGTATTATCATTATTTTTAAATCAACTTTCTCTGGGTTTCCCTTAAGATCTAATGACTTCACTAATTTCTGTAACAACATATGCCACGTGTGTTATTTTAGAAAGTTATGAATAATTCATCATTAGTATGCCTCTCTAGTTTATTGTACCTATTTTTTCCGGAGATGTTTTCCCTTTCTTGACTATTAAGTATACGTCATTTATTATTAATTTATTCGTTTACTTAAAAATTTTGTTGTGCACATAATGCTATTATGTATTTATGTAAAGTGTACATGCATACAATTGTATGTATGTAATGATAAAAAACACCATTATTTTAAGTACATTTCAGATGCAATCAGTCAATTATTTGTATACATTTTTTTTAAGCCCAGAATGAGGTGTTTATTTATGCAACATATGTACATATGTATGTATGACGAATGCGCAATGCAGATAATCATTTGGCCTTTGTAAGAACTAAACTTTATTTATTATCTGTATTTAAACTTTTTTTGTTTATTTTTCTATGATATGAAAAGCTTTTTAACTATAATTTAACATGAAGGCCAACATCGCGTATGGGTAATTTATGATGCATTTTAATGAAAATTTCATAAGGGGAAGAAAAATGAGAATTTCATTAGAGAGTTTTTGTTTTGTACCAATTAAAAGTCTTTCGTTTGAAAATATTTTCTCTAATTACTTTTACCACTCGGATGAGATGCTTTCCCATCAGCATTAAGTAGATTCCACGTGGCGCTCCGCCGTGGCCCCCTTAGGTATGCTATGAAATCTGAAACCCATCCTGAAACTAAATTTCAAATTCCAAATTAAGAGAAAACTCTCAAAGGTGTTAAAATGCAATTTTGTAATCAAACATTTAACTCGTTCAACGTTTTCTCGCTTTCGTTCACGCTGATTGCCCTTTGGCTTTGGGCAGTCTAATAGGAATACAAAGTTAAATACAAAAAAAAAAAAAAAACATAGAAGAGAAGAGAATATGATACAAAAGGTAAAGTCAAGAATATAACAAAGTTGCTACCGTTATCCCCACATAGCTGCATGCATTCATGGGGCCCAGAGCTCCATGGCAAACTTCCTACTCTATAGACCCACACCCCGCCCACCCCACAGATCCGTTCACACCACACAGGCCACGACTTTTGCTTTTTTCCCTTGGCTGCCACACAAAGTTGCTTCCCACACACACACACGTACGTACACTATATATATAAAGAAATATATATGTATGTTGTATATATGTGTATAGAGAGTCCTACCATGGACACATCGCCTTTCATTCTAGGTGCCGCAGAACAGTAAAAAAGAATCCCCTCTGTACACATTTCAAGCAAAAATTTCAATTAAGACTTTTACTATGAATTCATTTCTGTTTGTTTTCGTCTATACTCCCTGTGTGTCCCCCCCCGTACTTATACGTTCTCGTTTCCTTTTGGCTTTTGCCTTTTGCTGTATCCTGTATTCCTGGGTCCCTGTTTTGTCGTCATTTGTGTGCTTGAACCTCCTGGTAATTTCTCCTTGTTTTATGTTTAAGCGAAATTGGTCAACACTCTTTTGTTTGGCTCGCCGGATGCAATTTTAATCTGCCGGAATGCCGGAGTCTGGGTGCCACACAAAAACACACACACACAGAACTGAACAAACTAGGGGGAAGACAGATAGCCCCCGGTGGGCGGTGGGTTTTTTGAAGGTTGACTGAAATAATGACTACAGAACCACACCATACCACAAATACAACAAACATAGACACCAGCTCTCGGAGAGAGACATACGCACAGGCACAGGCACAGGCACAGGCACATGCACAATGAACACGAGAACACGCACAGGCTCTTCAGCGAAATGGCAAAGCAACCACATAATATTTTAGTTTTTTGACCCAAAAATGTCAGCGGGACATGAGTTATCACTGCCGCCATCGCCAGCCGACGACACAGCGAGGGGCGCTCCAAGGCTGCACAACACAAGACCAGAACAGAGTAGAATAGAAGCTAGATTGTACTGAAGCACCAATTTAAGCAGCGCAATTAAATTTGAATACATTTGTGCAAAAGTTAAGCAGGGCACAAGAGCAAACCTGCACAACCTGCAAAAGGAAATTGTACTTTTGCAAACATTTTGAGTTGACCTAAACAAACAAAAAAATATGCAGTTTTATATTAGTTGTAAGTACATTTTGTTGTTATGAGAGTTGCAAAATGTCAAAGCATTTAGTTTGTTTTCTGAGAACAGCAATGACATTTTGGTTGGCTATAAATTATGCCGGAAATGTGTCAAAGAATTTTAAAGTTTAATTTAGTATTTAGTGAAGATTTTAATGATCATTTTAAGGTACGTGCAGGAGTAAAGTTGATTGTTTTTTTGGGTCTATGGATATGTAATAGAAATGATCACTGATTTAAGTTTTTTTTTTTGTTTTTAGTATTATTTTGTAACATTTTATTTATGATAAAAAAAATGTTTATTTGCAGCAAAATGTGGCTCCTGATCATGTTAGGTAAGTGGCAGAATTCTTACTTATTGTTAGTAGTATTTTATTTACCCCAACATCTCAGAATTTTTATATCATTTTGCCAGCAATTTAATGTCAAAGAAGTGAAAGCTGGACTCTACTGCAGGCTTTTATTGGAATGAACTTAAAATTATATGGATGCTCACTTATTTATTATTGATTGCTCATTTTAAATAATGATGGAGACTGTTCCTTTACAAACGAGAAGCGCAAAACAAATAAATTATTCTGCGGCTGTCTAATGTAATCTAATTGGACAAATCAATCTTAAATCATTTCGTTAGGTCTCCATTTGCATCGGGTATAACGAACTGTGTTCCTTGGCATACTTTCTGGTGCCTACCCCAACGGTGGGAGTGGGGCGTGAGGCGTGAGGCGTGGGGGATTTGTACATATGAAAAATTCTTTTTGGTGGAGTTAACCCACAATTGCTCGGCCGCCAACAAAATCCCTTGGCGCGCGTTCCTATAGCATACTTTTTTGGAGGCAACACCATGACTAATTCCATCAGTCGGATAGTCGGGACATTTGGCAGCGGGCTAATTTGATTCAGAGAACCGCCCTCGTTGCGGTTGTTTGTCCCAGCCACGCAGGTTGCTCTTTGCCTTGCTTCTGCTTGTTTGCCCATGTTTGCCTATGAATAACAAGAACAGCAACAGCAGCAGCAATAACACAACCAACAAAAACCAGCACAGGAAGTTCGTGGGGTGGGGGTGGTGTGAGGGAGAGGCACCATAGAGAGCGAGAGCATGTCTCGTGCCTCCCTTCGCGAACTCTCACGACGCCCACAACGAACTCAAGGCGAATTCAAAAGCGTCAGCAACAGCAGCATCAGCAGCAGCATGGCCAGGAGCGGCAGCAGCAGTAGCCATCCGCCAGCCTCTTGAGGCACTGCAAGGCGACGAAGACGATGACGATGGCGACGCCGACGACAACGTCGACGACTGTCACTCTTCAAGAGAAAAAAAATATGTTGGGGGCGTTCTGCTTTCACCCTGGCAAAGGGTATGCTAATGTGTAGGAGAGACCGAACTTCGACCACGTCAGTTTCCCCCCAAAAAGGAAACAAATCGGATACCCCTAAGTCATATGTACATATGTTTGCCAGAGCAACAATTAGTCGCAAATTTGAAAAATATTTTAAATATATCCACCATGTAAATTTAATTCAAATGATTAATGACTCGGCTGACTCTGCCAGGGTATCAAGAGCTTCGACTTTCATTGTTTCTTGTTTTGTTGTCGCTGTCGCTTTTGGTGGGTGTGGGTGTGGGTGCTCAGCAGCTTCTTCAGCCGCTTTGGTGTCGCTAGGAGCAACTTTGTGCTCCCAGCTCCTGTCGTTGTCGTCTCTGCGTTGCTTGGCTATGTATATTTTTTGTGCGTTTCTTCGCTTTTCTGCTTTTGCATGACTTATTTGCGCTCACCTTTGGTGCTGGGCCCTCGTCCTTGGCAAACTGCTTAATCGCCTTTGTCCCTTTTAACTTTTGCGCCGCCAATTTTCTCCCCTTTTTTTTTTTTCTTTTCTTGTCTTTGGTCCGTTTAGGGCTTCCTGGGAATTTTCCTCTCTATCGGGCTACTGGGTTTAGTTTTCGTTGGCACTTTTTCTTTTTTTTGATTATCAACTTTCTTTTTGATTTATTTTTGTCGCTGTTGTTGTATTATTTTTTAATGGCTAAGAGTGCTGTACGTGTATTAAGAGATTATTTAGCATAGAAAAGTTGTGGGCATTTCTTTTGGTTTCACTTTCGCTTTATTTTTTTGTACGCTTTTGTGGCGGTCCCCGAGACGACGTATTCAACAAATTGTTCGCGCTTCTCCTTCAGCTTCACCTTCACCTCGCACTTGCTGGCTCACTCACTCGCTCGCTCGCTCTTTTTCTATCGCACTCTCACTCACACTTTATGTGTGTGTGTGTGTGTGTGTGTGTGTGCCTAGCAAGCAGCAGGTTTTTACAGTTAATTGAGTCTGCTAATCTTTTTGCTGTTGCTGGTCACACTTTTTTGTTCCACAATTTTTTTTATTTTTTTTTTTTTCGTTTTTGCTGAGAACGTACTTGCTTTTTTTTGCGTGCCTTTCAACTGTTTCTTTTTAGCTTTCTACGCTTTCATTTACTTTACTTTCGGTTCTTTGTATTTTTGTTCTTTTGCGTGTTCTATCCGTGCTCCGGTCTCCGTGCTCTGTGTCCGTCTGCGTGCGCGTACGCTCTGGCTCTGGGGGGCTCTGGGACCCGTTGTGATGCTGCCTGCTGCCTGCCGATGCCACGACGATGCTCCCCGACTCTAATTGCGTTAAAATATTTTCTGCTCCCACAACAACTACAACAACAACAACAACGGGAGCGGCGACAATCAGAGAAGCCAAAGAGAGAGAGAGAGAGATAGAGAGGAGAGAAGCAAGAACAACATGCATGTTGATACTACCTCTTCGACTGACGACTGGCGGCGCGCTCTTCTCCAATTTGTCTGGGATGCTGGCCTGCCTGCCGCCTGTCCGCCTGTCCGCTCGCCAGATGCTTCCTTCTTCTTCGCACACAGTTCAATTTCAAGTTCTTTTCTTCTTTTCGGCCGAAATATCTCTCGCACAACAACAAAACTTTGACTTTGAAGAGCTTTCGGTGAGAGCACAGCTTCGTGTTGCCTCTGCCTCTGCCTGTGTGTGTGTGTGTCTCACACTGGCATTGTCGTCCTCCGGCTCGTGTGAGAGATTCGTTCGGTTTTCCTTTTCCCATCTACTACCAACAAATTTTCGTATTTCGTACGTATTTGGCGCAAGCTCAGTTTATTGTTGCCATTCGTTATTAATATTGTTGTAGTTGTAGCTGTAGTTGTTGTTGTTGGCATTCGTTATATATATTTTTGTATTGTTTTTGTTGCTTTTGTTGTTGCTGTAGTGGAATTTTTTTTTTTGGTTTTGGTCCTTGTTGCGCTCAGGAGAGCGGCAGCAGCAGAGTATGGGGTTGCAGCAGCATCCACACGAGTCACTCATCGACGCTGTTGTTCGGGGTTTTCCTTTCTTTATTTTCCGCCTCGCTCTCGTTTCAACAGAAAACAGGACTGGATCTGAGCAATAAAGAAAATGGGATTTAGATTTATATGGCTGCAAAATAAAGCTAAATATCAGAAAATATTTAAGTCATTTTTTAATTTTTGAAAATTATGTTCCAATAAAAGCTAAACTGTTGCAACAATAATTATATTTTCTCAACTACTCTTCCAAAAACTAACATAAACTCCTTTGTTGCTGAACCGCTCCTGTGCCGCACTGCCATTTTTTTTATTCGTTTGTCAAGAGATATTTGATGCTATTCAATATGCTCTTGGATACTTCTGCTGGATGGGAAGCGTGGAAGCCAAAATAAATACTACAAGTAAAAAATTACAATCAATGAATATGATTTTCTCCTTTCCGCTTGGACTTGCATATTTGATTATTTTCAGAAAATTCTTTAGATGGCTTGGAAAAGCATATTCAAGTATTTTAAGTAGGTGTACTTTTATCTTCTGTCTGATCTTAACTGAATATAGCTATTCGGCACGTAATTACGTATACGTAATTATTTACTCTTCTACAACTGGAATGACCTCGGCTACTAGCAAACCGCTCCTGCTTCGCCACTCTATGCCACTCACTGGCATTGTTTCTCGTGTTGTTGGCTCTGTTCCATATTACACTCTCCCACACGTATCCATATGTATGTATGTGCATATATATTTACCCACAAATATATACATACATACATATATCTGTAGATTTTTTTTTGCATACTTTCCCCGACTGACTGGCGTGCTGTGTAGTGCCCCGTTGCTGTTGTTGAGAATGCCACCTCCTCCTTGCACCCATCTATCCATCCATCTGGCACCCCTTTTTGTTGACGTTGGCTCTGGCAGCCGAGCAAAAAGGAGGAGCTGAAGCTGCTCCTGCTCCTGGCTCCGGCTCCGGCTCCAGGCGTTTTTGTCGCCTTTGGAGGAGCGGCATCCTCGACGGTACCTGGTCTGGTCGGATGGATGTGGCATGGCTGTGGTATGGTGTGGCATGTGGCTGCATGGCTGCATGGCAGCATGGCATGGTTGTGTATGGCTCTCTTGTTGTGGGTCGCCAGCGTTGCGGGCTGAGCTGTTTGCGTTGTTTTTCCTCGGGTGACTGTCTGAAGTGCAAATTTGCTTTAATTATTCCATGGCAACAACAACAACAACAACAACAGCAGCAGGAGGAGCACCGGCAGCAAGAACCACGACATCTGCAACGGACTCCAACTCAAATTCAGGCATTGCCTCAAGAAGCACACACCCACAGCCCCCCCACACTGCACCCCTGCACCACACCCACCCACACATCCCTCAGCAGACAGGAGAGACCTGGTGACAGCAACATTTACTTGTGCACCAATTTTCACACCTCCCGCTGCAGTGGGGGACGAGCAGGTCCTTTCGGCGACATTGAGTGACACCCTGCGAGTGGATCAGAACCGCAGTTTCGTTTCTCCCAGTGCACGACCCAGACAGGACATTATCACAGTTTCCTCCAACATATAATCCATCCGAACCAACCCACAAAACCATCCGAAGGATGCCACTATCCAAACCAACCAACAGACGAGCGAGCGAGCGAACGGGCGAACGGAACCACTGACCCCCTTTTTGGGTGGCTTCTACCGTAGCTTTTGATGCTTGACATTGTTGGCAGTCGATATTGGTTGTAATTAGCTTTAATTGAAATTGCTCCATTCCCATCCCATCCGTACGTACATAAAAATGTATATACATATATATTCGTGCATGTCTCTGTGTGTGTTTGTGTATGTGTGTGTGGTGGTCCCGTGATTTGGGTTTTAATGCGGAAAATGTTTGTAATTTTGCCAAAGTTAATTTATGGTGACCCAGACCCAGACCCACACCCACACCCAATGGTAAATTCCCGTTTACAGTTTCAGTTTCTCTCTGCCTCTCTCTCCACCTGAAAGCCCAGCCAAGCCAGCCCTGTCGCATTTCACGGTTTTCATTTGCCACTCAAATAATTAGAGAAGTTCCATTCAAAAAGTTTCCACATTTCCTACAAATTGTGCGGATTGTTTGAATTCAATTGATAAACGTAAAATGAAATGTTTCTGTGTTGGGAATGTAAGCACAAATAATTTGCAGATAGTCATGAAAAGAGGTAAATGTATTACCGGAAATTAGATAAACACATTGACAATAAATATTAAATGGAAATATTAACAACAACAACAAAAAAAAGGGAAATACCTGTAATGGCATGCTATGCTAGATTAGATATCTCTATACAATTTACAAAAATGTAAATTGCATTGTTACATTTCATTATCTCAATTCATATGTTTAATATGATTTTCGTATTTTTTTTTTCATAATTATTACTACGCATCGTGTAGAACTTATAAAGACGATAATCACGATTGCAGTGGAAACCTTTAAAGAGTTTTGACACACAAACATTTTATGGCACAGATATGAAATGATATTCCAGCCCAATGCCAGCGACTTTTATCATTTTTTTTTTTTTTGGATGTATCATGATTGATAAAATAAGCAAATAAACAAAGAAATCACCGAAAAAACATTCGCCATATAAGAAAGAGAACTGGAAAATGTTTCCATTCAGTTAACCAAATTTTATTTCCGTTTACATTTGAGAGTAATAAATAATACAAAACAGGTTTATGGAAATGTTAAATCAATAAGCAAGCAATTTAAAATATTTTATTTGGTTATTCCAAATGATTTATCTCGATAAATATTTATGTGAGTACTTTAGTAACAGACTAAAACCAGTGCGGCTTAAATATATGTATGTAGTAAACATAGACGCCAAAGCAATGAGATTAAACGTGATTAAACAGCTTTGTTTCCATGTGGTATTTTGCTATATCTCTTCATGCCTGATCAAATAATAATAAACTTGAGACGGAAACCAAATCGAAATCGAAATTGATTAGCGTGTCGTGTGGCCATAAAACCATCAAATGCTTTCGATTTTCGATTGATTGAATGCCTCAAGCCGCACTAATTAAAGAAAAACAAATGAATGCCATTATTAATCTAAGGCTATCAATCATTTTTATTGCATACTTTTCCGTGTCATATATTGCACTACATAAATAATTTATGTACTATTGTCATATGCATATGTATGTATGTCCAGAATCGACCACAAACTACAGTCTTGACATTGCAGCCGCAATTGTAAATTCTTAAGGCAGCAAGCCAACGTGATCGATTGAATTTATAGCCAGGGGCAATTGTTGGAGTGGCTTGGGAATCGCCTGAGAAATATATTTTATGATAACTAAGGTAGCTTGTATATGACTGTGTTGTATATATCAGAGAGACGCCAGATATAGATATAGAACTACAGCGATGCATCGACCATAAATGCGGTTTTGGCTGCCAATAGATTTGATTTATATTTACTTTTATTGCTACTGTGTTTGCTCTGAAATAATAACCTATAATTAATTCTAGCATTTTGAATGTAGTTCTGTGTGGATGTTCAATTCAGAAAATTTACCGAGAGCTCTCGGGCAGTGTAGAGTTAAAAAAAAATATCATCGGGTGCGCAAGAGGAATGTGTTAAAAATTAGCTTAGGGTAATGTGATTTCGAGCAAGAAAGACTAGAGACTGGATACCAAAGGGTTACGATTTCTGAGCAAGCTTTTGGTAGTACTTCCATACTGAACGCCCTTTCCTACTCCCCTTCATAACTATGCTCAGGTGGAAGAAGATAAGAAGAAGATGATACAACAGACACTTACATTACATGAGCTACAACTTCGTGCGGCTCTTCGTGATCACCCGAGTGGAGTACTTAAAAGAGAGAGAGAGAGGAGAGAGAGAGTGAGA